GTGCTGGGCCCCATCAGCAGCCCTCGAAATTGACGACAGTTTCACAGATCGCAGCCCCCCAGGGATGGCGAGGTCGCATTTGAAAGTGGCGACAGTTTCACAGATCGCAGCCCCCCAGGGATGGCGAGGTCTCATTTGAGTCTGCGGTGAGTACCCACTGTGCTGGGCCCCTTCAGCAGCCCTCGAAAGTGGCGACAGTTTCACAGATCGCAGCCCCCAGCAACCCTCGAAACGCAGCGACGAGCGAGGTAAGAAAGTGGCGACAGTTTCACAGATCGCAGCCCCCCAGGGATCGTTTGAATCCGCCGCGGGTGCAGACTGTGCTGGGCCCCCCAGCAGCCCTCGAAAGTAGCGACAATTTCACGCTGGGCCCCCCAGCAGCCCTCGAAAGTGGCAACAGTTTCACAGATCGCAGCCCCCCAGGGATGGCGAGGTCGCATTTGAATCCGCCGCGGGTGCAGACTGTGCTGGGCCCCCCAGCAGCCCTCGGAAGTGGCGACCGTTTCACAGATCGCAGCCCCCCAGGGATGGCGAGGTCCCATTTGAATCCGCCGCGGGTGCCCACTGTGCTGGGCCCCCCCACCCCTCGAAAGTGGCGACAGTTTCACAGATCGCAACCCCCAGGGCTGGCGAGGTCCCAGTTGAATCCGCCGCGGGTGCCCACTGTGCTGGGCCCCCCAGCAGCCCTCGAAAGTGGCGACCGTTTCACAAATCGCAGTCTCCTAAGGATGGCGAGGTCCCATTTGAATCCGCCGCGGGTGCCCACTGTGCTGGGCCCCCCAGCAGCCTTCGAAAGTGGCGACAGTTTCACAGATCGCAGCCCCCCAGGGATGGCGAGGTCCCATTTGAGCCCGCCGCGGGTGCAGACTGTGCTGGGCCCCCCAGCAGCCCTCGAAAGTGGCGACAGTTTCACAGATCGCAGCCCCCCAGGGATGGCGAGGTCCCATTTGACTCCGCCGCGGGTGCCACTGTGTTGGGCCCCCCAGCGGCCCTCGAAAGTGGCGACAGTTTCACAGATCGCAGCCCCCCAGGGATGGCGAGGTCCCATTTGACTCCGCCGCGGGTGCCACTGTGCTGGGCCCCCCAGCAGCCTTCGAAAGTGGCGACAGTTTCACAGATCGCAGCCCCCCAGGGATGGCGAGGTCCCATTTGAATCCGCCGCGGGTGCCACTGTGCTGGGCTCCCCAGCGGCCCTCGAAAGTGGCGACAGCAGCCCCCAGCAGCCCTCGAAACGCAGATCGCAGCCCCCAGCAGCCCCCCAGCTGACGCGCAGCGACGAGCGAGGTCAAAGGCAGGGGGGAAGAGAGGGGCGGGAAGGAAGGAAAGAAGGAAGGTTCGCGCGAGCAGTGCTCTATTCAAAACGAGAACCCAACGCAGGAGGGTTGGGAAAAAGAAAGATTGGATTGCCGCGTGCCCGAAATTCCGCGGGGGGTCTCGGCGCGCGGCATGCGGGGGCAGGTTCGACCTTCAACGCTGAGTTCAACGATCTCATCGCAGTCTCAATATCTCCTCCTGCCGGCGCTGTTTCACGGCGGCGCCGAGGCCGCGCGATCTAGCTCTTGTATATCCCATTATCCGAGAGGTGGGGCGGGCGGTGGGGGGCGAAGCCCTCGCGGATGATCGCGCGCGCTGCCCTCCGGGCGGCGGGCGGCGACGCGCGTGGCCATCGCTGGCGCAAGAACGAGGCCGCGCCAATACTCTAGGCAAGCCTGCCCAACATATGCGGTACCTGGCAGGTTCCAGTCGCCGCCGACAGTCCGCGGCATGCCTGCGTTACTGAGCCTACCGACGAAGCGCGCGAGGGCATGCAGCGGGGCCAGATTCTCTTGGTTCAATCCAGCTCTGTCTTGGAAGTGCACGGGGATAGCTACCATGCATCCTTCGCATCCCGAAACACCCGTCGCCGCCGCGCACCTGCCAGGATGCGCGAATGGGGCCCGAGGCCCGGCGGCGCGGCGACGGCGGTCTTCGCGGGCGCGACCGCCGCCGCACCTGCATATAACCCCCCAGTCTTAGTGCGCAACGAGGGGGCGTATACGCCGTGATGTACTCGTTCCCTCATAAAAGGAGCCAATGAGGCGATGCCGGCGCCGCCGGCGCAAAGCCCCCGTGCCGCCGCCGCCGCCGACCGCGCCAGATCTATGTATATCATCGAAGGCCCTGGGCTGTCAGCGTTGACTGAAGTCGCGTAGCCTTTGACCTGCATGTCTCCAACGGCGCGCGCGCGACCGACCCGCCCCGACCCGTGCTTGTCATGGCCCGCGTCGAGCAAACCATGTGGAAGAGACCGATCTTTTCGACGCATCCATATATGTATCCCCAGCAGCCGTCGGACTGTCCGAAATGATGCTGGTGCACGCCATCAACGCATGGTGCACCAACGCCATGTTGGCATGCTTGGGAAGTGTCGAACGTGTCCACCCCTCGCACGCGTGGCAACATGATCGCTGCATCGCGTATGTCCTGCTCTCCATCTGGAGAAGCTGCACCTGCGGCCTCCAACGTAACCTTGAGCTCGCCAGTCTCCACCTTGGAAATGCGCGGCCCAGCAGGCTTGGGTGCAGGAGTCTGAAGCGCAGGCAAGAAGGTGGGAGGCACAACGACAGGTCGGGCAGCTTCATCATCATCGACGAACCTCACTTCAGGTGGTTCAGCTGCCACACCTGCGCGCGATGGATGCTGGCGGGCAAGGCCTGCGCAACACCCTCCGCCGTGGACGTGGGAAGCTCGCCAGCCCTCAAGCTGCGCTGGATGTCCCCGAGCTTGCTGGCGTCGAGACAAGTGGCAGCAATCGACACATGCGCGGCTGCAGCGTCACCTTCTTTGCCGGCCGGCGGCAAGGTCGAACGCTTGGCCAACCCCAAATGCTGCGCCCGCAACTCGACCAGCTTGGTATTGTCCTGCTACGACTGCTCAGTCTTGGCAAACTCTGCATGCAATGTTGCCATGTCCTCGCGATGCTGCTCAGCAAACTTCTGTTGCTTGAACATTTGCTTCTCAACATTCCCGAAATTATGCGTGATGGCAAACATTTGAGCAGCTGCTTGCTGGCTTCCTGCTGGTGATCTGGCAATGCACACTTTTCCCCAGACAGTGTCTTGTGCAGAACAGCCCATGCCTCACCATTACATTTGGAAGCCAGACCGATCTGCCCGTGCAACTCAACCACACGCGCACGCGCACTGCCTTCATCAAGTGGACAGTCTGAAGTATCGCGCTTGCCGGCATCAGGCGCCCCCACGTCCATTCCATCATCTCGGTGTGCCGACAGCGACGCAACCTGCCGCTCCAACTTGAGGATGGTGGCCTGAGCATGCCGCAACTCGGTGGATTGGGCCCATGGAATGTCTGTGCTTCCTGTTGCCTTGGGTCCTGCCAGCGCCGATCGCCCACGAGCATCGCGAGCATGTGCACTGGGCCCAGGCGCATTTCTGTATGAGTGGGAGCAAGATGCCTTTGTCCGACGACACTTGACGCACTGATCGCGATAAGGTTTGTTGAAGAACTTCTGCCCCGTCCTATCACGCACGCAATGCCTGCAATACCAAGTGAGATCACTGACAGGCGGAGCCATGGCAAGCGTCTTGCCGCCGCAGCGGCCGTGCTGTCGCCTGCCTTATCCCAGAGGCTCGCGGTCACCCAGCCGTTCTGAGGAATCGGTGACCGCACGCGCAGGCAACATGCCTGAGCCAGAACGGCTAAGGAGGAGGAGGAGGAGGAGGAGGAGGAGGAGGAGCAGGAGGAGGAGCAGGAGGAGGAGGATGAGGAGGAGGAGGAACAGCAACGACATCGAAAGGAGGAGGACCAGTGCAAACCAAGAAGCCATCAGTAATGTTGGAATACGCTCCCTCTTCATAGGACCCTGCAACGATTCATTTCCACTAAAGAAAATGTCTCGTTTGAAGACAACCGTTTGAAAACCCTGAAACATGCCACACCATTGTTCTCGGGATTCCAGCGCCACAGCACAACCTGACTGTTGCGTCTCGGCGATGCTGAAAAACGCAAGAACGCCATTCCTGGAACTTCAAGATGCAAATCAAACGCCATTCCTGGGACTTCCAAAGAGCCATTCCTGGTACGTTGATCATGGAAATCCGTGGAACTCTTGCAAATGTTACCAACGAGTGCGCGGCGATGAGGCGAGAACCTCATTTTGAAAACAATCCGCCCTCAATCCGTGAACCTCTGGCAAAATATTAAAACGAATGTGCGCGGCGCTGAAACGAAAGCCACATCTTGAAAACAATCCGCCGTAAATCGGTGAAACTCTAGCAATTGTTTAAAACGATTGTGCGCGACGCTAGAGCGAGAGCCACATTTTGAAAGCCATCTGCCCTCAACCTGTGAAACCCGGCCCGCCCTAAAAACTGGCCTCGGGGTGCGACGGGGAGAAACTATTCATAAGGAAAAGGAATGGAGGAGGAGGAGGAGGAGGAGGGGGAGGAGGAAGAGGAGGAGGAGGAGGGGGAGGAGGGGGAGGAGAGGAGGGGGAGGAGGAGGAGGAGGAGGAGGAGGAGGGGAGAGGAGGGGAGGAGGAGGAGGAGGAGGAGGAGGGAGGAGGAGGAGGAGGAGGAGGAGGAGGAGGAGGAGGAGGAGGAGGAGCAGGAGGAAAAGGAGGAGGAGGAGGAGGAGGAGGGAGAGGAAGAAAAGGAGGAGGAACAGGAAGAGGAAGAGGAATTCTTCTCTGCAACTCGCCCCTGGAGTGGGGCCCGCGCGTCCCCCCCGCGGCGGGCGACCAGAAGTACGGCATGCACCCCCCCAACACTGCGGTGCGCAGCACGGCGCTGCCCGCGCCGCGGAGCGCCGAGACAGCCGAGGCGCCACTCAAGGGCCGCCCGAGGGCTCCCGGTGGGCTACCAAAGAGCTCTGCCGTGTCGCGCCCCCCGTCGACCCCAGAGCGGCCGAGAGCCGCGGCGGCCACTAGCGGATGCGGGTCGCTGGCGGCATCTCCACGGCAGCGCTGGTGCTGAGTCGGATCGGGTGGGATGGCCGGCGGTTCAGAGCCGCTCCAGCCACGACAGCAAGTCGCTGGCGCTGGGCCCCCCGCGCACTAGCGCCGTGAGCTCCTGGCAGGGCGCGAGCCAAACAGCGTTTTTTCTCTTCTCTCTTCGTTCTTTCCTCCAGTAACGCTTTCACTCAAAGGTTTTTGTCTTTTTGTCTAAGGACCTGTGCTGGTGTCGTCGGTCTGGCGGGTATGAAACCGCCGTGGCCGCCACGTCACCGCCCGTCGTCTGGGCCGGCGTGCTGGTTTGGCGGCTATGTAGCCGCCGTCCCCGCCGTGTCGCCGCCTCGTCGCCGCCTGTCGTTCGGGCCGGTGTGCCGCACTGGCGGCTATGTATCCGCCGTCGCCGCCGCGTCGCCGCCTCGTCGCTGCCTCGTCGTCTGGGCCTGCCTGTCGGTTTGGCGGCGATGTTGTCGCCGTCGCCGCCCTGTCTCCGCGTCGTTGCCGTTTTCGGTTCCACCACGTGTAACCCTCCATGTAAACAAATTTGTAAAGATTCCCCCCCTCTGGGGTTGTAGGTCGACCTTTTCGTATTGATATTTACATACAATTCTGCCTCATCGCCCATCCAAAATATGAGTTCGTGCCATCCCTGGCGTGGAATTCGCCCCCCCCCCCCCCCCCTCCCCCTCTCCCCCCCCATCCTCTACGGAACACACTATGCGCGCGCACTCGTCTATCAAAAACCATATGTGTTCAATAATCCCTTGCAACATATTGAAAGAAGTGCGCACGCGCGTCGTCGCGCGCGCATGCCAGACACCCTTGCAAATAAAAAACATCAGGTTTTGCAAACATGTCTAAACCGAGTGCCACAAAAACATGTAAAAAACAACGTTGCTTTGCAAGGCGAATGTTCAAAACAAGTTTGCGTTCGCGCTCTTGAACAATCGCAGGGTTTCAACATTTTCATGACATATTTCCATATTGGCTTTTCGCGTGCGAGTGTCGAAATTGTTCCAGCGCCATTACGCGCGTGCTGTCGCAAGAACCCCTTGCCAAAAAACAAACGAATTGCGCGCGCGTCGTCGCGCGCGCATGCCGGAATCCTTCAACAACTCTCGGTTCCGCAAGGTTGCAGAACCGGCTGCTCCGAAAACTTATAAAACACATGGATTTGCAGCACAACTTTCGAAACCAATGTTGCGTCTGCGCTCTTGCGGATTCTGACTAAAAAAACCATCAGTTGTCCATCATGTCCATCACATTCTGCCAAGCGGGCCTCCCGCGTCGCATGTCGAACTCATTCGGACGCCCTTTCGCGCGTGCTGGGGGGGCGCGATCCGTGTCAAATATTACCGCGCGGGCCACTCGCGCGCTTTGGCTGCGCGCGCATGCCGAACTCCTTGAACAACCTTTTATCACCGACGCGAGGACACCGTCATCGCGTTCGGCGGGCGCGATCAACATCGGCGCCGCAATCGGCCATGCCGTCGTCATCACCGCCATCGCCACCACCATCGCTACCCCCATAATCGTGCTTACCTCTGTCGGCGTCGCCACCGCAGCAACGCCACCACGGCCGCGTCGGTCGCGTCAAACTAGCCGGCCGCTGTGCGCGCGAGCATGCCCGGGCCAGCGCCTCCGCGGACATGCGCCGGCCAACGCCAAACACTCATCGCAATCGCCGCCGCGTGGGTTCTGCAAGCCGCGTTGCGAGTGGATGGGCGATGCTTGCACGAACGTGGAATTGTTCAACCCGTTTGAAAACGAAGAAAAAAAGCGTTTGGACCTCCCCCCCCCCCAAGGGCAACGATCCACCCTTTTGCATTGCAATTTACTTCTGGCTCTGCCCCATCATCAACCCTAGATATGAATTCGCGCCGTCCCGGGTTCTCGGCCCCTCCTCATCCTCTGCAAAAAAAACTAAGCGCGCGCACTGGTTTGGGGTGTTAGATATATACACACACCAATCAAACACCATCCATTTCCATAATCCCGCGGCAAAAATCATGCACGCGCGCCGTCGCGCGCGCGCGTGCCGAGACATTCCAAACACACTTCCGATTTCTCAAGTTTCAAAAGCGAACGCCACGAAAACATGTAACAAATTACGCTACCGAGGAACCCCACATACTTAACTTAAATATTGAGTGTTTGCTTAAGTTTATAATGTACGTGCAATTCTGCGTTCTCAGCCCTCGTCGCGAATGTTCCCCTATGTGTCATCCAACGCCATATTGCTTGAACCTCCTCCCTCTTCCTAGCCTTCTATCCTCCGTCGAGGACAGATTCGAGCCAGCCAGCGGCCGCGGTGAGGGACCACCCCCTGCGCACCCCCAGTGGTGTCGAGAAAATGCCGCGCCTGCTATGCCCTGGACGACCGCCGTGCATAGCGGCCGCGGTGAGGGACCACCCCCTGCGCAGCCTCTATGGTGTCGAGAAAGTGCCACGCCTGGTATGCCCTGGACGACCGTCGTGCATAGCGGCCGCGCTGAGGGACCACCCTCTGCGCACCTCCTGTGGTGTCGAGAAAGTGCCACTCCTGCCACGATTTGCGAGCGTGTCACGGATAGAGGCCGCGCTGAGGGACCACCCTCTGCGCACCCCCTGTGGTGTCGAGAAAGTGCCACTCCTGCCAAGATCTGCGAGCGTGTCACGGATAGAGGCCGCGCTGAGGGACCACCCTCTGCGCACCCCCTGTGGTGTCGAGCAAGTGCCACTCCTGCCACGATCTGCGAGCGTGTCACGGATACAGGCCGCGCTGAGGGACCACCACCCCCTGCGCACCCCCTGTGGTGTCGAGACAGTGCCACTCCTGCCACGATCTGCGAGCGTGTCACGGATAGAGGCCGCGCTGAGGGACCACCCTCTGCGCACCCCCTGTGGTGTCGAGAAAGTGCCACTCCTGCCACGATCTGCGAGCGTGTCACGGATAGAGGCCGCGCTGAGGGACCACCCTCTGCGCACCCCCTGTGGTGTCGAGAAAGTGCCACTCCTGCCACGATCTGCGAGCGTGTCACGGATAGAGGCCGCGCTGAGGGACCACCCTCTGCGCACCCCCTGTGGCGTCGAGAAAGTGCCACTCCTGCCACGATCTGCGAACTGAGGGACCACCCTCTGCGCACCCCTGTGGTGTCGAGAAAGATCTGCGAGCGTGTCACGGATAGTGAGGGACCACCCTCTGCGCACCCCCTGTGGTGTCGAGAAAGTGCCACTCCTGCCACGATCTGCGAGCGTGTCACGGATAGAGGCCGCGCTGAGGGACCACCCTCTGCGCACCCCCTGTGGTGTCGAGAAAGTGCCACTCCTGCCACGATCTGCGAGCGTGTCACGGATAGAGGCCGCGCTGAGGGACCACCCTCTGCGCACCCCCTGTGGTGTCGAGAAAGTGCCACTCCTGCCACGATCTGCGAGCGTGTCACGGATAGAGGCCGCGCTGAGGGACCACCCTCTGCGCACCCCCTGCGGCTTCGAGAAAATGCCACTCCTGCCACGATCTGCGAGCGTGTCACGGATAGAGGCCGCGCTGAGGGACCACCCTCTGCGCACCCCCTGCGGCTTCGAGAAAATGCCACTCCTACCACGATCTGCGAGCGTGTCACGGATAGAGACAGCGCTGAGGGACCACCCTCTGCGCACCCCCTGTGGTGTCGAGAAAGTGCCACGCCTGCCACGATCTGCGAGCGTGTCACGGATAGACGCCGCGCTGAGGGACCACCCTCTGCGCACCCCCACCCCCTGTGGCGTCGAAGGAATGCCCTGTGTGGTATGCTGTGCTGTGCTCTGCTGTGCTGTGCTGTGCTGCTGTGCGGTGAGCTGTGCTGTGCCGTGCCGTGCCGTGCCGTGCCGTGCTGTGCTGTGCCGTGCGAGAAGGAGAAGGGGAGGGGGGAGGTATGAGACGCGGGTGCGGCGCGGCAGGGAAGAAAACCAGAACCCCACGAAACATGTGGGGAACAAGTGGGTTGGCAACAGGAGCTTTCACGAACGATTTTGCGCTCGCGCTTGCGAATTTTTAGGAACGCCATCGGTGTTTCAACATGTTCATGACGTGCTCTCGAATGTCCCTCTCGCGCGCGCGCGTCGCAATCGTTCGAGGGACCTTTGGCGCGTGGTGTCGCGAGGGCCCCTTGCGCGAAAAATGGGGCGAAGTGCGCGCGCGCGTCGTCGCGCGCGCGAGCCGAAATCCATCAGAAACTTTCTGTTTCGCAAGGATTTCAAAGTCCAGCGCCCCGAAGGCATATTACCAGTCGTGGTTTCGCAACATCAAATTTTCATAGAAAAAATGTCGGTGCTCTTGCGGCGTCGCACGGAAACCAGGTTTTTTTTCCAGCGTCTTCATTCTGCAAAGCGGGCATTTCACGCCGCTTGTCGAGCTCGTTCGAACGCCCTTGCGCGCGCGTTGGGGGGGCGCGATCCGCGTCGACGAATGCCGCGCGGGTCGCTCGCGCGCGTCGGCCGCGCGGGCGCGTCGAGCTACTTCCAAAACCTTCGTCGCCGTCGCGAGGACATAATCATCGTGTTCGGCGGGCGCGATCAACTTCGGGCCGCCATTGCCCCCGCCGTCGCCGTCGCCGCCCTCGCCGCCGTCGTCGCCGTCGTCGCCGCCGCCATCGCGCTCAAAACTGTCGGCGTCGCCGCGGTGCCGCGCCCGCCCCAGTCGCCAACTCGCACTGAAGTGCCCGCTAGGACGTGCCCGGCGGTCAGCGACGCCGCGGCTGCGCCGGTCGCAACGAACTAACCGACCGCTGCGCGCGCGAGCACGCGCGGGATAGCGCGGCCGCAGAGGTCCGCAAGCCAACGCCAAGCACTCATCACAATCGCCGCCGCATATGTATTGCAAGCCAAATTGCGGGTGGGTGGGTGGGGCGTTTGCTAAGGCATGGGATGTCTCAATTCACTTGGGAAAAATACGCGTGTCGAATGTTCTCTTTTCCCACGCAAAATTAAAATCTGCCCCTCCCCCGCCAGACTTTCGCGTTGCAATTTGCTTGAGATTCTGCCCCATCGCCCATTTTAAATATGAGCCCATCCCAGATTGGCCAGACATCCCCCCCCCTTCATCTTCTGCAGCAGATTTTACGCGCGCGCTCTCGCCTCTCTATTGCCCGCAATTTTCAAGAG